TATATATATATATATATAGTCAAAGGCAACACACACACACATACCCATGTATAAAATGTATGTCAGCCTCTCCGGCTTCCCCTTGAGCTCCAAGTCCTGACATTCTGACCCCTTCTAGATCCGGCCCAGCGACACCGGCTATGGCTTCACCCTGGAGGACCGGAACCAGGTGCCGATCGTCAAGTCCGTGGAGAAAGGGTCCAGTGCGGAGGTGAGTCCAGCAAGCCTGATGGTCTATAGGCTTTCCCTTGTTCAAGGAGATTCTCAATTACTTAGTTCCCCTTTGTTGAAGATAGAGGGGCAGGGGTGTGAATGGTGTGAAACCAGGCCCCCTTCAGGCTGGGGGGGAGCCTGCTTGGGTCAGGCTGGTTTGGATGCAAACTGGCCCCCACTCTAGGGTACGCAACAGAAACCTAAGTGTGAATGACCCAAGGGCTTTGTCTTCTGTGGTGTTCTCTCTCAAACGATCGTGAAAAAGTCTCCTACGGTCAGGACATAATAGGCTTGACCTGCGTTTGAACTTTCTGTAATAGTCTGTCCATCATAATGGCACAGCAAGATAAAGCAGGTGCTGGTGGAACTTGGTGGGTCTTAAAAACTGCTCATGGGTCCTGTGCTGACTGAGTTTGCACAGTGGCTTTACTTTACTTTGGGAGAGAGTGCCTGGTGTAATTCTTAAAGAGTCTGGTCTGCCTGATCTACCTGCTGGACCGCTAGCTTTCTACTCTGAGTTGTTGGGTTTCTCTTGCGCCATCAGAAGCAAATTCCTGGCATACTAAGAGTCAAAGCTCTCCTGCTGTGTTTGGTGGGTCTAATAGAAGGAGAAATGAGCACTGATTCAGGCATGAGGGGAAGCTGAAGGCTTGAAGCTGAAGCTGGTGGAGTGTGTGCCCATGACGCCCACAGAGGCCGGCCTGCTCTTTAACACGCAGGCCCCGCCTCTCTGGATGCTGGGAATTCCTCAAATCCTGTTTGTAACAACCCCCCCCCCCACCGATTCAAATTCAAATTGCCCTCATTAACATAACAATGATGAGTGCAGCTAATCTCTCAAACAGGAATAAAATCTCACAGTGACGTAAGGGAATCAAGGCTGTGTGAAGCGTGATCGAGCAGCAGATGGCCAAAGACATGTTTCGGGGTACTTGTCACGCTGACTCGCCACTTTGCACCGTTCTCTGTCCTCTGCAGATGGCCGGCCTGGAGCTGGGGAAGAAGGTCTTCGCCATCAACGGTGACCTGGTCTTCCTGAGGCCCTTCCAGGAAGTGGGCAGCTTCCTAAAGCAGTGCTTCAACAGCGGCAGACCGCTAAGGCTGCTCGTCAGTGCCAAGCCCCGGGAGTGAGTCACAGCCCCCGTGTTACATAACGGCCGAATATCCCACCCCACCCAAGGCCTTCCTGCCTGGCCTGGCCTCCCCCCCCAAACTCTGTCTCCACCATCAGGGTTTTCAGTTTTGCTTCAGCTTTAAAATACCAGTTTACACCCCCATTTCTCTTTCACTGGGTGCTAAATGCTATCCTGTATGTAGTGGCGTTAGTGGGGATTTCCTATGGAGGAAGCCTAGCACGTCCTTGGTCTTCCTGGGGTCAGAGGATGTGATAGTTAGGGCAGATGGAAGGATCTGTCTGTATCTGTCTGTGTATCTATATCTGTGTCTATGTCTGTATCTGCATCTTTGTGCCTGTGTCTGTTCTTGTGTGTGTATGTGTGTGTGTGTGTGTGGGGGGGGGGGGGGGGGGCGCTATATGAACATTCATGCCTGGTTATGGCTGCCAGGGTTTGACTGGTTACCCCCCCCCAGGACGGTGAAAATTCCCGACTCAGCAGATGGACTTGGCTTCCAGATCCGCGGCTTCGGCCCATCTGTGGTGCACGCGGTCGGCCGAGGTGAGTGTCCCGGGGCGATGCTGCGGAGAGACGGCCCTCATCTCATATTTGGATCTCAGGGCTTTGATTTTGGAGGCCAGGGTCCAGGCCACCCATCTCAGTTCCGGTACGGCCGGCTGCTGGTTTGGAGCAGCTGGGGCTGGTGGGGGGGGTGGAGGTGGTGTTGGTCCTGGGGCTGCTTAAGAAGGAGCTTTAGCCTGTCACAGCGTGACATGGTGCCGGCGTGTGACAAGCCACTTGCAATATAAATTAACCAAAAGATGACACTGGTCTCTGGTCTCAAACGCACGACCGGAGGGGATGACAGTCTGAGCGGTGGTTCAGGGATCAGGGCAAATGCACTAGGGACTAGGTCAAGAGACCAGGGGGGCAGGATGGCCAGCAACACCTGCTGGACAAACAGGGAGGGGACACGAAGGATAGGGTCGGACAGGCGCTGACCCTGACATCAACCACAGCTGATGATAAGTGGCTGGTTCCTCCTGGAAGGTCCGTTGGACCTTGGGGAGCCTCTTTTAGCTGATTTATTTATTGTTCTCGTCCATGACTTTGGTGTCGTCAAATGACCCCCAGTCCCAGTGCTGCTGGTTTTTCCCCAACAGCAGCGCAGTTTGTGATTCACTTTTCCTTGAATATTTACCTGGCTAATATGATGCTTCATTTTACACACCCCCCACCTCGCCGGAGCCCTGACTGCTGTGACCGCCTCAGCGTTTTCACACGTCGACATGCAGCGGCTGCCCTCACAGGCACACTTTACCGCTGATCGGTAGAGGCTGTTTCTGCAGGACGATGTCAAACATTTATGGGAAAATGCACCGTAGGCGATTCCATCCGGCACCACACTGGTGGGGTTGCATTATCGCCGAATTCGATGCTCACATGGACCAGCGGTGCCACTTATTCATACTGAAAGTGACTCAGACAGGTGCTCTGTGTGTACATCCAGGAGATAACGCAAACAAACCCTCAGATGTTTAGTCTGCATGATTTTAATCCTTGAAGTTGTTCAGTGTCTGAATCTTCAACCTGGTAGGAAAGGGACCAGGCCAGCAAATAAAAGCTTCTGAGATCAGTAATGTTTTTCATTTGACCTTTGGAACTACAGAGCAACCTAAAACGTGAACAGCTGAGTGATTCACTCCCGGGTTAGACTTCACGTCTGATGAGTGTGCAAGGGTGGTCTTTTTGCCCGATTTACTTCCCATGGTCATTTTTGAGAAAAAACTGTAATAATTTACATATCCGTCGCCCATATGTCCTGCGAGTGGCTGTTCCATTTAGGTTTGTAACCATAAGCCAATAAAAAAGACTAATGGTCTCCTGAAGGTTCTCACTCTTGGGTTGCCCCGCCCCTGACAGGCACAGTGGCGGCCATCGCGGGCCTGCATCCCGGCCAGTGCATCATCAAAGTCAACGGGATCAACGTCAGCAAGGAGAGCCATGCCAGCGTCATCGCCCACGTCACGGCGTGCCGGAAATACCGACGGCCCACGCAGGTTTGGGAACGCCAGGAAGCCACATGGGCCGGTGATGGTCTCCATCCTGTCTTTAGTCCCTCTGCTGCTGCAGCTCCTGTCAGGTTTCCTTTCTGAATGCGCCTCTCTGCAGTTGACTGTAGAGATAATGTTGACCGGCTAGTTTAGCCTTCATCCCTATGGCCGTGATTAGCAGTGTCCCGGGGACTAAGGAGAAAACCTGTACTCTGTAGCCAAATGGGACCAAGGATGAGACAGTTGGCCTGCTTGAGAGAACAGGAGGAGGGGTTGGGCAGGTGGGGAAAATTCTGAAGCAATCTTTGGATGCCCATATGTATTGGGGGTCTCTCCGAGAACCTAGTCAGCAGGTTTGTGCTGTAGATCAGTGTTTCTCAAACCAGCCCTCAGGGACCTCCATACGGTCCATGTTTTTGCTCCGTTCCAGTTCCCAGGGAATTTGGGGAGAGCAAAAATGTGGACTGTCTGGGGTTCCCCGAGGACTGGTTTGAGAAATACTGCTGTAGACCCTCAGCTCTTCTTCAGTGTCATCATTACATGCTCCTTGGAAGTTCTGCTCAATTCATCCAACAACTCATGCAGACCTTCCAGATCTGACACTCTCTATCTCTGGCTTCTCACTGTAGCAAGACACCATAAAGTGGGTGTATAACAACAGCGAGAGTGCCCAAGAGGACCACCAGAGGGCCAAGCAGAAGCCCTCGACAGAGGAGAATGGGGAGGTGTTTGAGTGTAAAGTGGAAGGTATGCTGACGTCTCTGGGAGGGGCTGATTTGTGAGTCATTCCTCATCCTCCACCAGCATCTATCAAGTAATTTACGATACATGACAGCACAGTGCTGTCTTCTGCTGCTGGAGGCCTTGATGTTTACCCCTGCATCGCTTATCTACAGTGTTAACCATGGTGGTGGTCCTCGGTAGTGGATGCAGAAGTTCCTCTGGTTCCTCAAGCCCATGTCTGCTTGCCGCTCTCTGCTTTCCCCAGAGGTCATGGACAAGTTCAACACCATCGCCATCATCGATGGCAAGAAGGACCACGTCAGCCTGACGGTGGACAACGTGCACCTGGCGTACGGCGTGGCCTATGAGTACGACAGCACGGCCGGCACCAAGTGCCACGTCCTGGAAAAGATGGTGGAACCCAAAGGTTTCTTCAGCCTGGCCGCCAAGGTGACGTCTGGGCCCTCTGGTTAAGCGGGAGGGTAGATATTCCTGGTCTCATTCGATCTTGCTGAGGGCACAGAGCTCACAAAAATACATCTTGCATAATAGACCTGAGAATGACAGGGATTTTGAGTCATGCTGGGGTGGGGGGGACTGGTTTGCTGTTGTCCTAGGTAGTCTCCCCCCCCTCATGGGCAGCTGTGCCTGAAGGTCATCTTCTGAAACAGCTCAGGTTATAGAAGCTCACTCAGGCTGCTGGGAACTCAGAGACCTTGGCTTCTTCAGTGTCTCCTGCTGTCATTTCTAAGGACGTTTAACAAAAGCCTCTGCGAGTGAGAACCGCGGGATGGAGAGATGGGCTTCTGCTGCTGGAGATAATTGGACCTGGCCCCCGTTTTTACACAGCTTTGGTCTCTGGTGGGAAGCTGATGAAAAATGGCTTTGCTTGAAACTCGCTGGTTTAGTAGGCAGCGCGGAGTGCGTGCAGGTTAACGGGAGCGGGTAATAAAGCAAAAATGGAATATGAGAGAGAAATGGAGAACATTCCACAGGCTGAAGATACACTTTCTTCGAGGGATGGGGGGTTTGTTTTCCTTAGGACCGGGGCTTGCCTTGTACTATGGACCCATTGCTGCACTCTGTGGTGACATAATGTTATACAAAAGCAGAGGGGTGCTGACTAAAGTGCTTGGGCGGGGGGGGCGGGGGGGGAGAGCTGAACTTTGGCTGTGCATCGCTGATGAGCATCAGCAGAATCAAGTATCTTCACGATGATGTTTTGCGCTCCTCGTTTGATCTGCATCACAGTAGGAGATGCTTAGTGTCACTGTTATTCTTGGTCATTGTACATTTTGTTTATGTAATTGTATAATTGTGTAATTCTGTGGTTGAGCTGGGTGGCTTCGTTCTGCCTAGTAATGGCCACATTGTGCCTGTTACATAACCCCCTGAACACGCACAGTCTCGTAGCTTATAAACCTCCCGCAGGGGCAGGTGAAACGAGGCCATTTTCACACGGTAATTTTCCGCGTGGCGCTCTGAGCCTTAATGGGCTGCTGTGCTCCTGACTGTGCGGGCAATGGGCCGACCTGCAGGGGGCAGTACGCTCATTACGCTTCACCCTTCAGTGACTTTTCCTCACTAATCTGCCATCGCCCAGAACCCGCCCCTTCACCACTGAGCACAGTCACCCCCCTGATCACTCTCTAACAGGCAGTCTTAGGTGAAACGTGCGCCTCCTCCCTGCAGATCCTGGAGGCGTTGGCGAGGAGCGATGAGCAACTGGTGCAGACCTGCAGCCGGTTGAACTCCACCCCCGATCTCGTCCCCGAGGAGCTCCACATGGCCTTCACAGCCACCTGCGGCGACAGACTGGAGCATGTCAACCGGCGCATCACCAACTATCGCAAGGTAACACGCAGCCTGGTGCACCCAGGTGAGCAGCGGGTGTGGCTTTCTCGCATTTCAGGATTTGCGACGGTCATATGGATGGTTTGCTCAAACTTCAGAGGACCAGTGATGTTCTTCTCAGTGACCAGTGGTTTCCACAGTGCTGCTCTGCTTTCTATCCCAATTTTCCCAGCGTCTGATGGTGGGATCATGGACTCTAAGCTGATGTTGTTGGGCTCCTTCTGACCTCCTGACCCATTTCTCACCTCGCTCTCTGAGATATTTTTGCCCTAGAGCTTTTTGGAAGATTCACTGCTGTCCCAGAATTTCTCCATCTGGACAGTAAGGTCTGTGGTTCAGTGGAGCCCCAGAGATTAGATATGACTCTTTCATCCTTACCAGGCTAATGGTCATCAGTTACTTGTTCCAGGAATTCTCTGGGGATCATTTGATCGTGGCATGATGGAGCACGTGTTCTGTATGGGCTGGGTCCGGGCTTTAAGGGGCAGATCTGATGGTTTATCAAAGTGTTTAACAAGCTGATGCTAATTACCCCTTCATTTGGGTCGAGGAAATGAGGGGGGGGGCAGTAACTTTTAAATGG